AAAATATAAGCTTATCGAAAACAATATCAAAAAATCATCTTGCCGTTAGATAAATTTAATTTCATTCTTTAATAAGCGTTTCTTCAAAGTGGTTTCTTCAAAGTATGTATATAAAGCTATATAAAACAGTTATTAATTAAAAAATCTCTTATTTTGTTCCTTTTTAGACTGAAACGATAAATATATTATTTGAATACAGTCACCCAGAGACAATATCTGCGATATAAGAAGTTGTAGTGGCCTAGCTGTAGTAGTTTCATACATGGTATCTCGACCATTGACCATTGACCATGACCCGAGAATTGCCTCCCTCTCACACAAGATCGGCGTGAAGTTATTTTTTATAGCTAATTTTTTTCGATGAGTGAGAGTAAGTGAAGAGTGAATATTACCTATCAAGTAGGCCGTCTGCTCATTTGCCACCTTTCACTTAAAAAATCTAGTTCGTCTAGGTATCTGCCTGAATTTAATTGTTTTTTCTCAATAGGAGATTGCCAATGTTGCTGTCATCAGCTCTCAAAAACTATAATCAGTAAGAAAAGATACAATATATTATAAAGTTTATAAACCGTACATTATTTTTTGAATGCTTTAAAATACAATTTTTTAACAAACTTACTAAGTTTATGCGTTTATTATAACATAGATTTACATATGATTTTATTTGATTAAATATGGATTCAATTTATTCATGAATTCATTTGAAAAACATTCACTACTGAATTGTTTGGGAGAGAAACCTCTTATATCGTGAGTTAATCGTATGTCCAAAGACCTCAATTAAATAACATATTTTTAAAATGTACACTGTGCAGTCGCTTAATAATCTGGTTTTACAACAAACAAAGTATTCGGAATCTCCGTAAGACCAATTTATCAATAAATTTGTGATATTTATTTTTAACTTCTCTGTATGAAAATTGAGAGTTTCTCGGGTCGCAAATCTTATTAATTTTATTGTAAATGTAGGGAAATAGAAAAGGAGAAAATCGTGCTGCAAAAGTGGTTTTTACTGCAAAACTTGGTGCCTTAAATCTGCGGTTTGTTGTATTATTGGGTACGGAGGAGTTTTGATACAATTTTATGAGTGGCTAAGACGGCTTGCAAAATAAAAAGGCGTAGTACACTTAGCAGTTTAGCTTCTGTGTACAAGTTCGTCGTGGTTTTAGAATATGGTTTTTTAAGCATCATTATTAGAGAGCGTTGACATCTTTCCAGTGTAATTAGGTGTGTTTGAGCTGCCCCACCCCAAGCCTTTATGCAGTAAGAAATTACTGACTATATATATTTAGTTATTCTCCAGATAACGTTGTGTACTCGAAAAAGTGTTAGATTTCATTAATTTTCAATTTGAATGGATTCTATTTAAAAATATCCTTTTTGTTCAAACTGTTTGACTTTAATATTCTTATTAATATAATAATATAATAAATGGAGAGAAACGCTAAAAGTTTAAAGATATTCTACACTAACAGTAAGCATATTGTTACTTAGAAATTATTAGAGCTGTTGTATAAGACCCATCGAAATGACTGAAGATATATCATATTTATAAAATAGTTGTATACATAAAATATAACGAATGACGAAGCTGACTGCCAGGTAAAAACTAGAAGGTTCCTTTTGTCACAGAAGGAGTTTGACGGCAATGCTCTTCAAATATCGGTCTTAGGTCCAGTCTCCAAATGATACATTTTAGTTAAATAAATTATATTGTAGTGGCTGTAAACCGAACCTTATATATCTAAATTATAAAAACTATACTTGGCAGTTAGTATTATTTGTTTGGTCTCCTAATTAAACGAAGAATCACTTATCACTTCTAGAACATACTTCGAACTCAGCCCTAGTAGGTGCGTTTCAAATTTTGTTACTTACAGAGAGGAGTTTGGACAGTGTAGGTGAGCGATTAACGACCGTTAGATGAGGGGCCCCTTTAAACCTACACCTGGGTCTCAAGTCTAAGGCACTGTAGAGGCTTCTTTCCCTGCAACGCGATGGATACGATACCTACATATACGGTGAACCAATAGAATGTAATAAATCAGAATTAAATATTCCCATGTAAAAGAATTTTGTTAATAAACTAAAGGTTTAATAATAATTACAGTACTGACATCGAACTCTTTAAACAAATTTATATACATAACTAGAAGACCCGGCGAACTTCGTATCGCTCTATAATAAAGAAATATCTGTTACGCTTTTTAATAAATAAATTTAGGTTATACCTTAGCCTAAGAAACACGTGGTGGTTATGCTATTATTAAATAGTCGGTCATATATGACGTTTGTATTTTTAACGTAGCGCCATGTATTAAATATTTAACTCAGTCAACAGATAATTGTAATAATGATAAATAATTTTCTTTAATAGGCAAATAATTTGCAATAAAATAAAATTGTGACTTTAAATTGAGATGTAGGCTATCCTATCTTTCAAGTTGGATCAGTTGCGCGCTCAGTTGCGCGCCGATATCCGTCGCAAGCGCACGGTTCATTAGCTATTTATACGAGCGTCAATCTTCTTTATCTTTTTTCATTTCTACCCTCATGTGGAAATATTACGAAAATGGATGATGTAAACGATAATACCAATATTTTATCATGTGCAAGTGATATAGAAGAAGACTCAGTGATGAATAGTGATATTTGTGAGCAACTAGTAGAAAAGGAAGTACATGCAACAAGTATGGGGGAATGTCGCTCAGTGGAGAAAAGGCAACGACAGGATAGTGATGATAGAGAGAATGGTGATGAAGAATTTATGATGGTTGAGAAACGGAGTAAACGCATACATAGAAGTACGTCCGGTAATGATGAAACATATGAAGTGTGCATTTCGTCTAAACAGGCGTTACCTAAACAAATAGGTATGGCTAAATTAATGAGATCACAATGTATTAAGAATATCCTAAGAATTAAATTTAAGGGTCCGTATAAAGCACTTATTACTTTTAGCACTAAATGTGATGCTGAGCAATTAATCAATTGTCAAAAATTGGCAGAATTAGAGTACAGGTGTCAATTCACAAATGAAGTTCAGATTACTTACGGTGTAGTCAAGGATATTGATTTAGAAACGGAAGAGAAAGAGATATTGGACAAGTTTTATTGTGATTCACAAATTGTTAGCATGAGGAGGTTACGGAGATTAAATAACGGTAATGAATGGGTCCCAAGTACAACAATTCGTCTGGGTTTTAAAAGCTCAACTTTACCCCCGTATATATTTGGATACGGTTGCCGGTTTAAGGTTGAGCCATACACATTTCCAGTGTCACAGTGCTCCGGATGCTGGAAATTTGGGCATTTAACTAGATCTTGCCCAACGAAGAAGATCAAGTGCCCAAAATGCGGACAAGACCATCAAAACTGTGAAATAAAAGATTTCGTTTGTTTAAATTGCAAAGGCCCTCATATGGCACTTGATAAAAAGTGTCCTATGTTCATAAAAGAAAAGAAGATTAGGGAGATAATGAGTCAGAAAAACTTTACTTACAAAAAGGCTCTTGAATTTTACTGTCAATATACAAGCAAGGAAAGAGAACGACAAAGAACACAAAGAGGAGATGACGATTTTAATAATAGCGTTATGATTAACACAAATGAAATATCGGAAAATAGAACTTACAGGGACGTTGTAACTGCTACGTTCCCAATACAAATGATTGAGAACCAGCCACAGAATATAACACATAATGATGACTCCGAAGACTCCGAAAGCCGTTCAATGAATACTCGATACTCACGACAAAGTAAATATGCCAAAAAAAAAAGTAAGAAAACAGAACAGTTGGTGAATCAGAATGTAAATAGCAACGTCACAAATCCACCTGCCCAAAATTTGACATATCCTAAGGAGATTGATAGCAATCAAGATAAAAACACAGACAACCTTAGTAGAGTTAAAAAACTTTTTATAAAGTTGAAGGAAATCATCCTCTCGAAGAAAGATACGAAAGATAAAATACTTAATGCAATCTATTTAGTGACAGAAGAAATATGTATCTCATTCCCTGCATTCGCGAAAGTTGGTGAAGTGATTAAGAATATGTTATATCTATTTAATGGATAATACAACACTAAAAGACTTCACGGTGAATATCTTGCAGTGGAATTCACAAAGCCTACGCCCAAAACTTCCAGATTTTAAAGTATTATTAAATAGAGAAAATATTCATATAGCGCTAATTAGTGAAACATGGCTAAAACGAGGTACAAGTTTAAATATTAGCCAATATAATGTATATAGGTCTGACAGAGACGATTCATATGGAGGCGTTGCGATTATAACGCATAAATCTCTTAAAACTTTTAAAAGTTCTATTTATGTCAATAATAATGGTATCGAATTATTGCATGTCAAAATTCTAAATTGTAAATTACTTAAAAATATTATTTCTGTTTATTGTCCCTCTAGTGTTAATACAAGTCAGGCCAATTGGGATAATCTATTTTCTATGTTCCCGAAATATACTATAATTGCTGGAGATTTTAACGGACAACATACTAGTTGGTCAGATAAAATTGACACTCGAGGGAATCAACTATTTGATAGTTCTTTGCAACATGGTTTTGTGACAGTTAATGATGGAAGTTATACCAGGGTTAAATTTGTTAATGGATTGCTACAACAATCCTCACCAGATATTACTTTCTGCACTACAGATATAGCAATGAATTTAGATTGGAAAACTACTAATGAAAATTTAGGTAGTGATCATTTAGTTTTAAAATTTTCACTTCGTTATAAAGGTCATTTAACTTTTACTATAAAAAGGAACTATAAAGATGCCAACTGGAAAGAATATAAAGATATACTACACAAGATTTTTAATGACACGGATTTCGAATCAAACGATATTCAAAGTATGTATGACTGGTTTGTGCAACAAATAAATTTGGCTGCGGATAAATGTATACCATATTATAAATTTTCCAATAACTTAAGTCAAAAATTTGTTCCGAAACATTTTTGGAATCAGACATTGTCAAAAATGGTCGCTGAAAGAAGATTAGCACTTAAAAATCTTAGACGGAATCCAACCCCGGACAATCTAGATATATTAGAAAAAAAAGTTGCCGATGCCAGATTATTTATTACTAAAGCTGATTGTAAAAGTTGGCAGTCCTTTTGTAATAATATTAATGAGAACACTACTGTTATCGATATGTGGCATAAGATGCAGTGGATGAAAGGCTTAAAAAGAACCAAAACGTGTACACCAGACGATAAAAAACAAGAATTATTACAAACATTAGCGCCTGACTTTGTATCACCTAGCATTCCAGAATTCAGATCAAAAAATATAGTATTAGAAGCACCATTTACATATCCAGAATTATACAATAGTTTTTAAAACACAAAAATACTACACCTGGCAATGACAATATTTCTTATTCGATGTTGGTTAATTTACCGAACGTTGCGAAACGATATTTACTAAAATTATTTAACCTTATATTTATTCATAGTTACATACCAAAACAATGGAAAGACGTACAAATTGTAGCCATCCCTAAACCAGGCGGTAATAATAGTAAATTAAGGCCTATTTCACTTATTTCATGCATAACTAAAGCTTTTCATAATATGATAAATAAACGTCTTGAATGGTATTTTGAAAAAAACCATATATTTTCGGAAAGGACTACAGGCTTTAGAAAAGGGCAGTCCTGTCTTGACAATTTAACCCGGCTTATTACTCATATACAAATAGGGTTCACGAAAAATATTCAAACAGTGGCGTTTTTCTTGGATATAGAGGGTGCTTATAACAATGTCCTTATTGAAAATATTGTGACTACTTTGGATGACTACGAGGTTGGATCCTTGATTTCAAAATATTTGTGGTATTTTCTAAATGAAAGACATTTGAAAATAAGACTAGATTTCGATGACTCATTTTATGAAAGATGGACAAGCAAAGGTCTTGCCCAAGGTGACCCATTATCTCCCTTATTATTCAATATAATCACAATAAGAATTACTCAAGCCATCCAAAATGTATCTTTAAGTCAATATGCCGACGACTTTGTTTTATTTTCTAGTCTACCGAAGATTCAAGATAGTGTTCTTAATCTACAAAATTCTTTAAATATATTTGCTAATGTGTTAAATGAATTAGGATTGGAACTATCAAGTAATAAATCTAAATTATGTATTTTCAGTAGAGGACATCGCAGACATAATGTTTACATTAATATTGGTGGATTTAACTTGGAGACTGTTGAAACTATAAGATATTTAGGTTTTTATTTGGATAGATCTCTGCGATGGGGTTCTCACATAAACGAGATAAGTGCAAAGACTGGGAGATTTTTACAATTGCTTAAAGTCTTAGCTGGGTCTAGATGGGGGATTCATCCTCAACATTTACGAAGAATATATACAGCGTTAATACGGAGTAGAATAGATTATGGCTCTTTTTTATACGACAACAGCGCTAATTTACATTTAAATAAATTAAATAAAATACAAAACCAAGCTTTGCGTGTTATTGGAGGTTATATTAGATCTACTCCAATACATGTAATGGAGAGTGATCTTTGTGTGCCATCGCTGCATATAAGAAGGCTTTATTTGGCGGCAAAATACTGTTTGAAATGTCAATCGTGGTCTGAAAATCAAACAATACAATCTATATCCGAGCTAAGTTTATTGCTAACGAAAAGATACTGGTATAACAAAAAGAAACCTTTATTAACTGTCACATTTTTAAATACAAAAAATGAAAATATTTACGCCTCTAGTATTTTGGAAATGTTTAATCTCGATACATGGGTGTCGAATATTGACATTAAAAATATTTGCAAATCTAACCTAAGTTGTGTAAAAGGACCTAAAAGTAGTTATGATTTTAATATTGTGCAGCAAGATGTTGTACAAGAGTTAAACCAGAATTATGAGGGATGGCACTATTTGTATACCGATGGCTCAAAAGATAAAACAAATGTTGGTTGCTCCTGGTATGATCCTACTTCTAATACTAGTAAAATGTTTAAATTAAATGTTTATACATCAATAATGACTGCTGAACTTGTAGCTATATTTGAGGCACTGTGTTATTCTAGAACTGTCAATAATGCAAATATTGTTATCTGTTCTGACAGTAAAAGTGCCATACTTCATCTTATAGGCTGTGTTAGAGGTAAAAGGGGAATATCTATAGCCTACAAAATTTTAAATGAGTTTATTAAATCAATAGCAATTGGCAAATTTTTGAAATTACAATGGATTCCTTCGCACGTTGGAATAAAGGCGAATGAAAGGGCTGATAGCTTAGCAAAACAAGCTTTACTTGTAGGGACCTCGACAAATCTAAGACCGGATTATACCGATACCTTAGTCAAATACAAACCTGAAGGCCTAAAAAGCTTTAAAGAGTATTTTGACGAAAGGTCGAGGGGTAAGGGAATATGGTATAAGACCATACAGAGTGAGCCACCTCGTATTCCATGGTTTGATGACTCAGGGTTAACTCGGCAACAAGTTGTTATGGCTCTCAGACTGCGTTCCGGACACATTCCTTCAAATCATTTTGGATATCTTATGAAGAAGTTAAACTCTCCGAATTGCGATATATGCGGGATTCAGGATGACGTACATCATTTTCTGGTGGAATGTGTTCGGAATGCGGCCAAAAGAAGGGAGCTAATAGATAGATTTAGTATTAATTTAATGGATTTAGGAATTTTCCAAAGTATGTTATCGATTCCAAAATCAGAGACAGCCAAAATTATTTATGAGTTTAAATTAAAATAAGGCATAGTTTATAAGTTTCAGAATTATTTTAGTTACTTTAAGATTTATATTTATTGTTGGTGGTGGGATTTTTATTAAGGGAACGATGGGACTGACATTTAGCTTTGCTGCTAAAAAGTCCCAAAATAAAATCAGAAAAAAAAAAAAAAAAAAAAAAAAGTTGGATCAAAATGCACACGGAATGCAAATCAAATTTAAAATCGGTTTAGTAGTCCATAGCGGACAAACCGGTGACACGAAATTTTTATATATATATAAAGATTGTCATTTAACTAAACTTTCTCAATAAATCGAGCTTACGATTTTATTCTTTATTCAATGTAAATCATAAATACGTTTCATTTTGTTATCAAAACTTTTTATTTAAAATAAAATAATATGAGGTGAAATGAAATGTAAACTGAATGCAAATTATTTTTTCACTTTATTAAACTGTGAGCTTAACTTTATGCGCATAGTAAACATATTTGAGCAATCTGACACTCACTGAAGGACCTAAAGGCTTATGTGAGGGTAATAATAAAATTCCCAGTGAACTCCTCTAAATTAAAAATTCTTTCAACATAAGGATTTTCAGCTGTAGGTGACATACATAATATATTATATTATTTTATTACATTACCAAAAGAAGAAATTTTACCAAAAGCACTAATACATTTTATACTTACTGACTCTGTTATTGTTAAATAACATCGAATAAAATTACGAGAAAATTTTAAGTCCTTATAATATAAACAAAAAAGCAATTTCTACATTAATGTTAATTAATGTATCACTGTAAAATAATTATAGTTCAATAAAGGACATATCAAAGGCGGCAACAAATTCAAATCTGTTATTGAGTTAATATAAATTGTAGGATATTTGGGGAAATTGGAGCAGAATAAAGAGTTTCGAGTGTAATTAAACTGTACATAGAGACTCAAAGTGAACACTAAATTTAAGGGTTTTGATCGAAGAGAATGAAGTTCATCGTAAATCACAAAAGCCTGAAAGTAATCTATTCATGAACACATCCCTCTATTTACAGAACAAATTAATTTGTTAAAATCCACCCAGTACGATACTTAAAATTAAAAATTGTCCAACAAATCTGTAAGCCCCGAAGTTGCGAAGTATTTTTAAAATTTTAATATATTTCTTCTTTATATTTTTTCATAAAAATCTAGTTTAAATCTGTATGAAAAAAAATCTAACTAATTAAGTATTTCTTCTACAAACCGATTAAAACTTTATCATTATTGAAAAGATAAATTTGTTGTCGTATTAGAGAGCATGTGTCTATTATATTTTTAAGGCAAGACTAAAAATGTTTTAAATGCATTATTTGCAGAAAGTATATAATGTATACAATTTTCATCGACAATTAGTTAACGCATTACTCCTAACTTAATGAGTCTTTTATTTTTCCTAAACCTTAAAGATCAGTTAAAAATTCTTCAAGTTAAATGTCTGTATTTGAACAAGTATTTTTTAGAATTCTTATAGAGCATTCGTTAATTCTTGTACACTTGGTAATTGAGTGGCCTGGCATAGATATCTATCTTACACTTAAAAACATTTAGTTCATACGAAAGGTTAACAATAGCTGTAACTTCTAAGTAAAATTGTTCCTTCTACATGTGTCTTGCGAACAGACTTTTTAGTTTTATATTTGTTTTAGAAAATTGTGTCACTATTTCTTCACCCTTTCTACAATAAATTCAAACCAAATCATTGTAATTTAGTTCTAAACTTAAATTAATGTAGTCATTTAAATTTTGGTATCATTGCACCCACCGAAAGTCGAAAACATAATTAATCACTAAACTTTCAATTCTATTAAAACAAACATTAAAATGTAAAATTCAAAGGCATTTTTTGTCCATTCAAACTTTCTCTTTTCGAGTTCAGTTTGGACAAACTACATAGAAGCCTTCGAAATCAAAAGGGTCAATGTAATAAAATTTATTTATCATGATGAGTCAAACAAATCGTGATCGAGTTTCTTTTGGGTTTAGTTTAATTTACCTTTAAAGAGGAAGTTTTTGTAATTTGAGGAAAAGATTGATGGATAAATGAAATTAAATATAGAAATAGTATCATAGGTCTTCTTTTATATATATATATACGCTCGGGTATACAAGATGCAATAAAGAGTTTCACAAAAAGTAGAAAACATTTGTCGTCTAAACTAAACGATACAATACCGACGATTATTGACTTTGTTGAGTAAATAATAAAACATTGACTTAATTCTAACTTCAATTAAAAGCATGTCTTGAGTTAAGTGTCTTAATATATACTTATTTTACCTAAAAGATACACTATGTTGAAAAATCACTACTTTCCATCACATTTCATTATATGTACATCCAAAATTATAAACCACTACGTGATAACTTAGTTACTTCAAGTTTTAACCTACTGAATACGATCATAGTTGATTGAGAACCCCTATGTATCTGGAAATAAAATAAATATGATATTTACGACCTGAAGTACACAATATGTTATTATTTCAATAAGTTAAATCTTACGATCTTCCACGAACCTGTATAATTAAAGTATCACGAGAAGAAGCTAAGATTTCATCTGACGAACAATGAAGCAATG